GTAGTGTGTGTGTGTGTGTGTGTGTGTGTGTGTGTGTGTGTGTGTGTGTGTGTGTGTGTGTGTGTCTGTACATTGCGTTGACCTCGCCGTTGAGCGTTACTGCACGCCATCTCTTGTGAACCCTTTGCATACTCCACCTCACACTCACCATCGCCCTGTTCCTTGTCATTGCATGTACAGAATGGTCGCAATGCGCACGGGAAACAGCTCTTCCCGAAACCCTCCGAGCTCAAGTACCAGTGCAACACCCCGCTTATGTGGGCAAAGCGCGTGGGCGTGGTCACGTTTGCTGTTCCCGCCGTTGTCGGTGGTGGCGCGCTGGCGCTCGCAGGCGGTGCTGTGCTCATTCCCTCGCTCGCCATCGGCCGCTACGTGAAGAACGTGAAGCGGCGGCGGGCTGCGCGGCGACGCAGGCAACAGCAGCGGCACCGGGTCGCCTATGAACACATGTCCATGGAGCAAGCCATGTGCAAGGCGCTGCGCGGTGACTCCCGGTGCCTGCACTGTGAGCGCAACGTCAACTGCACCCACCCGCACCAGGCCGGGGAGCGGTGCGGCCTGTGCCTCCACTACATCTGGGACAACACGTGCGCACATTTCTACGGCCACGATGGCACCTGCATCTTCTGCCACGTGCGGCAGGACCCTCCAGCAGACACCAGCACAGCGAGCAATGGTAACGCTGACAGCGACAGCGACAGTGACAGCCATACTCATCATTCAATGACCAGCAGCAGTAGTAGCAGTGAGGACGAAGACGAGGAGGAGAATTGGACGGACTGGGGCAGCATGGACACCGTGATCATCCACGCAGACGACGACGACGACGACGACGACAACGGGGATGCTGTATCTGCTGCCAATGGAGATGAAGTAGAAGAGAAAGAACAAGAAGTAGAAGGGCAAGAAGTCGCGGGACGAGGGCACGATGATGATGATGATGAGGAGGAGGAGGAGGAGGAGGAGGAGGCTGTTCAGCAGGAAGCGGATGATGATGAGGAGGAGGAGGAGGAGGAGGAGGAGGAGGCTGTTCAGCAGGAAGAGGAGGAAGCAGACATGGAGCAAGTGCGTGAGGTGGTGGAAGAGCAAGCGCGGCAGCAAGATGCAGTGGCCATTGTTGTCGAGCACGACACTGACGATGACGCTGATGATGAGGGAGAACACAGTGGTGATGAAGTAGAGGTGAAGCAGGAGGCACATGCGCGTATTTGAATGACATTGTTTCATTGACTTGAGTAAACAAACAACAACCCGCAAGGGAAAAGTAACAGTATCAAGCGGAACGACACTACAACCACCACTGCCGCCAACAACAGCGGGCACATCATGCAGTCTGCACAACAGCGCCAACAGGGCAGTGGTCCGAGCCAAGCACCTTGTGCAGCTGGTAAGAGTCGTGCACCCTGCGTTGTGTGCGTGTGTGTGTGTGTGTGGGTGTATGTGCATTGTGTGAGCTGTGAACGCGAGGCATAGGACAGCCAACATGACAGCAGACACGAAAAGAGCAGAAGCAACAACAACGCCAACAACAACACAACTGTGCGCACTTTGGGAGTGACTCTGTCATGCGCTTTGAGCAGACAAAGTAGTCGAGGCGAAGGCCCTTGTCATGCTCGCGACCGCTGGCGACGAGGAGGTGGCAGGGCGGAATAAGGTATGGTGAGATGGTGGCTGTTTTGTAGCGCGACACATGCACACACATGTTTCCACACACACACACACACACACACACACACACACACACACACACACACACACACACACACACACACACACACACACACACACACACACACACACGCACACGCACACGCAAACACGCACACATGCACATAATGCGCGTTGTACTCACTGGGTACGTGCGCTCCAGTAGGTAAAGTTGCCCTTGACGTTGCCGTGCAGGTGGCGAAACGTGTCGACAAAGCCTGAGGCAATCAACGCACAGAGTGGTTGTGAGCAAGGATGTGTTGGTGGGGGCCCCGGATACATATGTGTTCAGTGAGTCAGTTCGCGACATCTCACAAACACAAACACAAACACAAGAGCAGCAACCAGTAACACGTGCACTTGACTCCGTGGTGCTGCTTGCTACCTTCGTTCAGAAACTGCGTGAACCCTTCACGCTCGCGTGGTGTGCACCCGGCCACCTTTGCAATGTGCTTCGCCTGTTCATGACAGTCATTCGTGAGCGGCGGGCGCAAATGCAAAGAGACCATGAAGTCAACAACCACACAAACGCACACACATACACACTTAGAATGACCATGCAAAGCGAAACAACGAGGCTGCACACAGCCCCTTCCAACCCCTACCACAGCTCTCTCTCTCTCTCTCATTCCTTTCTCTCTCTCTCATTCCTCTCTCTCTTCAACGCAGCGCACGTCGTAGTTGTAGATGTCCTCGTCCAGGTGGGCGACGTTCAAATCGCCCGTGATCAGCACCGGTTTCGTCTTCTCCAGCGCCTGCACATACGCCAGCAGATCCTGGTTCCACTCCTCCACGCGGTAGTCCAGCCGCGTGAGGCCAATGCCTGTGTGTGTGTGTGTGTGTGTGTGTGTGTGTGTGTGTGTGTGTGTGTGTGTGTGTGTGTGTGTGTGCGTGCGTGTGTGCGTGTGTGTGTGTGTGTGTGTGTGTGTGTGTGTGTGTGTGTGTGTGTGTGTGTGTGTGTGTGTGTGTGTGTGTGAAAAA